ATATATATATATATATATATATATATATATATATATATATATATATATATATATATATATATATATATATATATATATATATATCCCAAATCAAGATACGAAGAATCTAAGCATACCAGCAGCTATATCTACAATGAGATCCTCCTATCCACGTGACATGATTCGTGGAGCTTGCTAAGTAAACCTTTTTACTACCATATCGGAATCCGATAACCTGAATCTACTTGGATTTTGGCAGAAATTTTTAGTGTGATCTTCTGTAGATCTTTTCCAATACTAGTATATCAAATAAAATACTCTGACCTAATCTGCTTCCCCAGTTGGGAGAGTTGATATTAGTGCGCGGATTTTTTGGCATCGAAGTCCACAGCCAAAACTTTCTTTTTATTTATTGAGTTTGGATACGATCGATATTAGCACACAGCTAAGCAAATAAGATCTCCCTAAATCCACATACATCTAAACCAGCAAATCATTTCATTGGTCTCAGGCAACCCCACACCCTTTTTATATCAGTCATCTCTCGCTCTCTCATTCTTGTTCTTGTTGGTCTTCTTCTTGGCTTAGATTTGGAGATCGATCGGAAAGGAGGGATGGGAAGCACATACTTCAAGGGAGGACGGCTGGGAAGCGGAAGATGTGGGTCATCCAGGAAGGGGAAGAAGGAGAAGTCAAAGCAACCCCAGAGAGGACTCGGGGTGGCTCAGCTGGAGCAGATGAGACTGCAGAGTCAAATGGAGGAATATGTTTCGTCGCTCGACTCCCCATTCTGCAGCGATCTCAACATGGTCTCCCAGATCTTACCCATGTTTTGATTGTCCTTGTTCTTTTCTTCCTCCTCCTAAATCCCCATCATGGTTGTCTCAGCCGGAAGACTCGAGAGTGGAAATGGCATTCTCATCGCCTCCCTCGTCACCATCCGGTATCGTTCCAGGGCCTTCGTTTGCGCTTCATCCCAACATGATGGTATCTCAAGCTTGCACTCATGGGTTTGTACACGGACAAGATTGCGTCCGCTCATGCTTTTTGCTGCTTCTTTCGTGTATCGTAGATGGATTATCATGGAGACGCCGGAAGAACAAGTTTCACTGGTGGCGAACGCTGGTTGGGTACTTGGGCAAGGTATAGTGTGGTTTGGTCATCAGATTGGGTGGAAGAGGTTTTGAAGGATGCTCACCGATTCTCCTGCTGTTTCATGTTACCAGATCGCATCTGAGTCAAGGAGGCATGTCTTCATCGCACTGCTACTCGCCGCCAACCGTGACATTGCCGCTCTTCGAAGAAACCACCACTGAGGTTGTCTTGATTTCTTATGCTGCCTCACTTATGATCTAAATAAACTCATCGTTTGCCATGCAGGACTCAGCACAGGAGAATAGACGGCATGATCAAAACCTTTCGATAAGCTCGATCAGCCAGAATTCTGATCCGGACGATGCACGACAAGTAGTAGACTTGGAGCTTAGACTATGACTCTAAATACTTGCATGGATGACCTCCTTCCTGTTCATGCTCTTACTGTATATTCTGCAGAAAAAGAAGAGAAAGATTATTGTAGGGTATCCACAAAGGCAAAATTTTGATGTCATCTTCGTGTATTGGTCTTGCATGAGACACCATGAAGCACAGATCTAATATGAGGTCATCTTTGGTTTTAATGAATCGGAGATGGTTGAGGCTTTCTCTATCTTTGGTTAGCAGATAACAAGAAATCACTTGCCCATTTCATGGAGACTCTCTCTCTCTCTCTCTCTCTCTCTCTCTCTCTTTTATCCTCTTCTTCTCTTCTCTTCTATTTTGCATGCATGGCTACTAAGTCCTACAAGAGATAGGAAACAAGTCTTTGGGCAAAAGATAAGTGATCATGCCAAGATTTCAGTAGTCCATCAGTTTATGTATTTAAATCTGTACTTCTTAATTCACTTATATATAGAATAATTTTATTTTGAATTCGTTACAGCTGGCTTAGCACTACTATCAAATTGTATCTTGGCGAAGATATTGACTAGCTTAGCTAATAAAAATCTTACTGATTATTATCGTAATGTTTTGAACTCAATCCTACTTTCACTATTTACTTTTTTTGCTTAAAAAAAAAATCTTATTGTTCGAAAGCATCGTCAGTATTATCATTATTATTATTATTATTATCATTATTATTATTATTATTATTGTTGTTGTTGTTGTATCCATGGAGACATGATATCTTTAGGTATCGCAAGTAACAAAAACCTTATAACAATTATATTGGTGATATGATAAATATTGTTTAGAATCCATAAGTATCCTTATCCCACTAGTATTGTATGCCACTAGGCTATCACATCATAACTTAACTTGCATGCAAGTAGATTATTTTCATAACTAAGACTCTCGTCATCTAGATATCATAGGAACAATCTACCTCTTAATGCTAAGACTGTTAAGACTATAGCTAGGAGAGTCCTAATTGAGAGGGACATTCATATAAAACCTACCTAAGCCGACCCCTATTAAAGAGATGAAGAGGCCGGCTAGGGTTAGGAGGTTGTTTCTTAGAGAAGAATTAGAAGTTGTAAAGGAATAGGAGTCTTGAGTAGAGTCCTATTAGGAGTTGGTTAGAAGTACGAGTCCTATTAGAAGTTAGGGTTTAGAAGCCCTATAAATAACCATGTATTCCTCCTCTTTTCATAAGCAATAGATGAATCTTTTCTGCAGTCTTTGAGCAGCAACTTGGAGGGAGAAACCCTTATAGAGTTCCAAGGAGGCCGATCAATCCCTATAGAGTTCCAAGGAGGTCGATCTCCTAAAGGGATCAACCCTAAGTTTAGAATATGTAAGGGTTCTAACACCTAGTATCAAAGCAACGTTCTTGGCGTCTCGCTGCCCTTCCACAGCCATCAATCAGCCCTCCACAATCGCCCAAAGTAATTCTCACAATTGCTTAAAAGATCTTCACCAAATTTCACCATCATCTCACCACCATAGATCATCATTTGATCTCCCCGTGAATTGTAACAGGTTTTGGTTTCCTATCTTATTGCTGTTGTAATTTAGTTATCCTTATTCGAAAATCCAAAAAAAAATTGTTCTAAAATTGCTGCATAAACTTTTCGTCGCAAAGTTTTCATCTCTACGACAAAAGATGCATTGTAGAATTCCAGCAGCATAGCACAATCTGTTTGATCTAGCTACTGTATTTTTTCTATCCAAATCTCTATGAAATTTTTATGATAGCTTTGACACTTCATAATAGTAGATTTCCCTTTGGTTTTGTTAAAAAATTCTCAATATAAACTATTGATCTTTTACGTCTAAACTGTTATACTTGAAAATCTACACTGTAAAATTCTAGTCGCATAGCACAGTTTGTTTGATCTTGCTACTACGTTTTTTCTATCCAAATCTCTACGAAATTTTTATGATAACTTTGATACTTCTTAACAATGGATTTTTCTTTCATTTCATAAATTTTTTTTTAATATAAACCACTAATTTTTTACGTCCAATCTACTATATTTGAAAATCTGTAGAAAATTTTAGCCACATATTGTTGCCTTAACCGATCTATTTGCAATCCTTTTTAAACGAAATTTTTTATATACTTCATAAATCATCTTAGCTTCCATCTAATATTGATCTATTGATGAATTAATCTCTAAAAACGATTTTGTGTTACTATAAATTTTCGTCGCAAACCGTTAAAATTTTTCGACGAGAATTCTGCTATTACAACTTGCATCAATTTTCTTGCTGTTATACTACTAAAATTTTCTTGATTAAAATAGACATCCTTGCTGTCATATAAACTAAGATTTTGCTATCAATTCCCTCCTTAAACCTATGGAAATTTTGTCGAGAAACCACAGTTTTTTTTATAACAATTATGCTCTTACAAGACAACACATATTTGCAGTAACTTCCATTGATTTCTGTCAAACCTTTGCTGCCATCTACCACAGATCCAAAACTTTCATCCACAGCCCTAAAACTCCACTAAACCATACCCTCAAACTGCACCCAAAATAGCTACAAAATAAGTCTAAACTGCAGCCTATATCCATCGATCCACCAACCCTTTCGACCATCATTTCTTTCAACCTATATATGCCTTTAACCCGACAACAAAAGATAGATCTTAACATCACATATTTAGAGGCATATACTATGGCATTTGAGGAGGCAATCATTGCTAAATTCGAAGCCTTCAAGGTGCAAATGGAGGATAAGATTCGAACGCTCTTTACCGAACTTAGATTGAGCCGACCACTAAGCCTAAAGAAATCACATCAAGGAGAAAGCTTTGCCCAATCGCACCAAGCTCGAAGAGATGACTTCCAAGGAAGGGGAGGCTCTATGACTGACCCCAACTATCTACGCATGAGGGTGGACTTTCCTAGATGGGAAGAAGGAGACCCGATTGGTTGGATTTCACGCGTGGAGCGATATTTTCGGTACTACAAAATCGCGGACGTATCTATGGTGAAAATTATAGCTATACATCTTGAAGGGGATGCTATACAATGGTTTGACTAGTTTGAACACACTCATGGAATCCTCTTATGGTGACAATTCAAAGAAAAACTGCTGATCCGCTTTGGACCAACCGATTACGAGAACATTGACGAACAACTAGCAAAGATCCGACAAACCTCCACCATTCAGGAGTACCAAATCAGGTTTGAAAGGTTATCTAATCAAACTCGTGATTGGTCTCAAAAACAGCTATTAGGGACCTTCATTGAGGGCTTGAAGCCGGAGATCCAGGGAGAAGTTAAAGCACGACAACCGTACATGCTTATGGCAGCCATCTCTTTCTCACGACATCAAGAGGAGCGATTGAACCATGAAGCTCGGAGGACTAGGGTCGCTCCTCGACCAGCAATACTGAAGCCCTCGGCCCCCCTACTGTTGATCGAGTCCCTACACCAAAGAGGTTGACAAGAGAAGAGCTTCGGGAGTGATATGCGAAGGGGTTATGTTGGCATTGCGATAAGCCGTGGAGCCGTGAGCATCGCTGTAGTAAAGGGAGACTTCTTATGATTGAACCAATAGAAGAATATGTTATTGAACATCTAGAAGAGAGCTTTGAACATGAAGAAGAAGATGTAGAAGAAGAGCCACAACCGACCGAAGTCACGGTACATGCACTAGCCGGCTACTCAAACCAGCAAACGATAAAAGTTTGAGGCCTTCTCAAACAACAATCGATCACTATTTTCATTGACATGGGCAATACTAATAACTTCCTATACAGTAAGGTTGCTGTCCGGATGGCCTTACCTATCGAGAATTATAGCAAGTTTGACATTAAGGTCACCGACGGATGGATTTTGAAGTATGATCGTAGGCGCCCGCGAGTGAAACTATTGCTACAGGACCAAGAGATAATTTCATATTTCTTCCTCCTCTCTCTTGATGATCATAAGGCAATACTCAGAATTAAATGGTTATGACATTAGATGATATTTCTTGAAATTTTATGCAACTAATTATGAAATTTTATAGTAAGGAGAAATAAGTGATATTGCACGGGAAACGTGGGGGCGACGTAACGACAATTTGCATACAACAAATGGAGAAGGTTTTGCATAAAGCATACAACGACTTTTTGGTACAACTTGAGCAGCAAACTAAGGAAGAGCCAATAGAATTTGAAGATCCAAACTTACTTCCTTTGTTTGCTGAAATTTCAGATATATTTGATGAACCGCACAATCTACTTCTTACCCGTCGACATGCTCATTATATAACGATTCTTCTAAGCAAACCTCTAATAAATACTCAGCCATATCAGTATATACATCTCCAGAAGGATGAAATATAAAGGATTGTAAAAGAGATGCTTGAAACAGGAGTTATTCGGCCAAGTTATAGTCTCTATTCTTCACCGGTGCTACTTGTACGCAAGAAGGACGAAACATGGTGAATATGCGTTGATTATCGAGCTCTCAATGGCATAACCATCAAGGATAAATACCCTATTCTAGTAGTAGATGAATTGCTAGATGAAAGGGAATACAAATCTTCACAAAGTTGGACCTTCGATCCGGGTATCATCAAATACGAGTGTGCGAAAAAGACATACCGAAAACCGCCTTTCGAACACACAACGATCACTATGAATTTTTGCTTTCTTCAACAAAAGGTGAAATATCTTGGGCATATCATATCAGAAGAAGGTGTGATGGGGACCCCTCCAATATAGAAGCAATACAGAACTGACCGACCCCGAGGAACATAAAATTGCTACATGGCTTTCTGGGTTTAATCGGCTACTACCACAAGTTCATGAAAAACAATGGAAAGATCAGTGCACCACTTACTTTCTTACTAAAAAAAGATGTCTTCCAATGGTTGGATAAAGCCTCCACTGCCTTCGACAAACTTAAGGCAGCCATGATGACAACGCCGATGCTAGAACTACCAGATTTCAACTGACCTTTCATTATTGAGGTCGACGCATCTGGAGTCGAAATTGGAGCCATTCTCATGCAAGATAATCGACCACTCGCATACACTAGCAAGGCATTGTCTCCCTCCCATCAAAATATGTCAATATATAATAAGGAGATGCCCGTTATTGTGCACGCAGCAACGAGACGGGGACCCTAGATCAGTTGACGATTTCAAATTAAAATCGACTATAAAAGCCTCAAGTACTTTTTGGAGCAAAAGATATCATCCCCTGAGCAGCAAAAATAAGTAACAAAACTTCTTAGATTTGATTATGAAATAACTTACAAAAAGGAGAAAGAGAATGTTGTTGTAGATGCGCTTTTGCAGCTACCCGAGCAAGCTGAATTTTCGGTCGTTTCACTTTCGACCAACGACTTCCTTGAGGATATTAAGATAGAATGGCAGGAAGATTCGAAGACCAGTAAGATCATAAAAAAATTGGAGGAAGCACCAAGCTCCGTGACTCATTACAATTGGGACTCAAAAGAATTATACTATAAGGGACGTATTGTGCTTATGACAAATTCTACTTGCATCTTCACAAGTAGATTTTGAATAAAGTTATTCTATATACATGGTACTAAATTGAAAAGGAGTATGGCATATCACCCACAAACCGATGGCCAGATGGAAGTTGTAAATAGGTGCTTGGAGACAGCCCAAAGACACCCACCAAATATGACTACTCAAAGAGAACTAACTCCAGACCCAGCCAAGTGCCATTATTGATCGACGGATCGTGACTCGACGACGACGACCCACTACTGAAGTGCTAATATAGTGAGTGAACCTACCAATAGAAGATGTCACTTAGGAGAATTATGATGACTTGAAGATCAAATTCACAAAATTCATGAATCGTCAGCCTCAAGGACAAGGCTGATTTGAAGAGGGTGGGTCAATTAGGACTCTAGCTAGGAGAGTCCTAATTGAGAGGGATATTCATGTAAAACTTACCTAAGCTGACCCATATTAAAGAGGTGAAGAGGTCAGCTAGGGTTAGGAGGTTGTTTCTTAGAGAAGAATTAGGAATTGTAAAGGAATATGAGTCTTGAGTAGGAGTCCTATTAGGAGTTGGTTAGAAGTAGGAGTCTTGAGTAGGAGTCATATTAGGAGTTAGGGTTTAGAAGCCTTATAAATAGCCATGTATTCCTCCTCTTTTCATAAGCAATAGATGAATCTTTTCTTTTGAGCAGCAACTTGGAGGGAGGAACTTCTATAGAGTTCCAAGGAGACCGATCCCCTAAAAAGATCAACCCCAAGTTTAGAATATGCAAGGGTTCTAATAAAAACTCACTCTCTTAAATCAAAAATGAGAAGGAGAAAATTTTAACATGTAATATAGATTGAAGTTAAGTTAGTGGGGACTAACATATCTTATTAGTGGGGACTAACAAAGATGAGAATAAGCACCAAGGCAATCTAATGTTAAGGTTTATCATTATCTTATCATCATCATCATCATTTTCTCAGCTAATTTCCATCAATCTCTTTTACTATCTCCTTCTCTTCTTCTTTCATCATTATTTTCCATCCTCCCCTTTTACATCCCCATGTTATTTCCTATGTTTCTGTCTTATAAATCATCAGAATTTGATTGTTTTTTTTTCCCCCTCTTATTCATGCATTTTGTTTTTTCTAACTATAAAATTTTTATTTGTATATATGATATATATATATATATATAGGTATAAAAAAAAAATAGATTATATAAACATGACATCCAAAAAGACCCATAGATTAATTATGAGTAGTAGGTTGGTCAGGGAATGCACTATTTTATTGCCCAAAGCTGCTGCTCACTCTAATGAAGATGGATGGGTCGCTCTCACACATGATAAAATTATTCACTCCAATTTATGAGAGAGTAACCATCAAATGGATTGAGGTGCATGAAAATTAATATCCAATTTAGGTTCAGGTTATGCACATGTTTCTAAGGTTTATTACGGGAACAATAAGGACAGCAAGGAACTCATGATGATGGCTACAAAAACAAGTTTCTCCACAACTACCATGCAGAGCTACCAATCTCATGCAAGAAGATAAGAAAGCCTTGCTGTATCAAACTGCTCCTTCCACCAGCTTTTCTCCTAAAAGAAGAAGACAAATTCCCACACCAGCAGCCTTTGATATGTTCATCTTAACAAAGACATACAGAGAAGAGATGTTGGAAAATAGAGCTTTTCTGTAACAAAGAACTAACAACAGTAGTAGGTGTTAGAAAATGCTCAAGTGATCAACCCACTCAATTAACTTTGCAAATTCCAAGTTTTTAGTATTACTTCATACAAATTCCTTTTTCTTTTTTCCAATGTCAAATTATCTTAAAATCCTTACTTTCTTCGTCGTGAAAACGACGTTAGATTTTAAAAATACTTTGATTTTTAAAAATTATCTAAATTTTGATGTCTTGAGATGATTTGATAGCCTTTATTAGTTAAGCTAACTTAAGATTATCACTAAAAAAACACATCCTTGAGTGCTTGTTCAATTCAAATATCTCATTTTCTTTCTCTGCCTTTTCACTATTTTTGAATGAGAATTTGGGGTGAAATATACATAGCCTAGAACAAGAACGAATCTCTTATATGAGTTCTAAACCAAATCTTGGTCTTCCTTGATGAGACCACAGGAAAAAAGAGAAAGAGGACAACAGTAGACGTGTGGGGTTGGTTCCATGATCTAAAGAAAATAAAAGTACATGGCTACAGATCATTTGCCCTATCTACCATTCCACAACTACTCAAAACCATCATGTGGTTCATTCAAAATGCTCTCATTCATCAACCAAGATTTGACAGACAGCAGTAGTAAATGTTGGGATATATTATGAGAGCTTTTACCTCGTGTTATCCCATTTTGATTCAGATTCAAATACAACATCCTACCAGTTGTTGCAGGAAAAGAAAGAGACACCTGAAGGCAAAACATTGCAGATGTTATCTCCACAAAAAAAAAAGAAAAAAAAAAACATTATTGTGAGGAATTGTGATCACCAGCAAAATATCCTGAGAAAGCAGGAGCATGAGAACATTATGTAAATAATCCAATTAAAAGATGCACATGCACGCATATTCTTAATTTCTTTAATAAAAGTTCCATGGGTTTCTAAATTCTGACTAGCAAAAAATAAGGGTTTCTTGGTGGCTGAGTCATTAGAGCCATCGTTATTAAGAAACAAAGCCACAGAGGCACAAAAAAAAGGAGATATGGAGATCATGGATGCATTATTTTGGTCCAAGTAATTCCAAATTCTTTGATATATAAAAGAAATATATCATTAAACTCAGATGTTCACTATTCCAACACTAACAATGATGAGAAAGACATGGAAAAGGAACGAGTCCTAGTAAAAAGCTTTTGCTATTAAATTTTCTTCTCTTTCAAAACAATGCACAAGTGATTTGGTTTAAGCACGAGTGCTGCCATGGAAGTGGCCGCGGAGACTGATTACTGGTTGTTGATGAGGGCGATGCATTTGAATCAACCCTGCAATTGACCACCTGGACCGGACAGAAACATGTCCCTGTTTCAAGAAAAAGCTTCCTGTTCTTATGCAGGTGGAACAGACATGCGCAGAAACACCATTGTGAATCAGATGAATTCATATTCTCACCCCTAGACAACCACCATTCAAGCTCATGACACCCTTAATCCTTCAAAACGATGCCTGCATCCCACCATCTTCCTCAAAATTCCAGATGTACTAGTCTCCAGGAATTCATGTTTCTCCAAGGCCTTCTTTACGTCTAAAGTTCGGCCACCAAACATTCTTATCTCCATGCTCGCTTTGACTCGATTCGAGACCGATTTGGAACATCAAGGATTCACCCATCTAATTATTTAACAGGAAAGTTTACTCATCAAGAAAAAAGAGCACACGGAGAAGTATCAAATAGATAATAACAATTGTTTGCTTTGAAGACGCAGCATGGACGGATAGAATCATAGGGAAATGGGAGTCTTCACTTCACAGGTAAGGGACAATAGTTTCTGCAAATTTACATTCCAGATTGGTAAAAGTGAAGGATGGATCATATGGTAGCATGGCTACCGAAGGCCTGCATGGATGACTCTCTTTAAAGGCACAGTTGCCAGCCATGTAAAGATAGTGTTGTTTCCTATGACACACATTGCATACATAACTGTCATTCAATCCTAACAGTCCTCCATTACATCTTTCCATTGCAGAGTCTCTCCCTTTGTTTTGTATCATTTATTCCTCATTCCATATTTCAGCTACCTCCCTCCTCAACTTTCCCTCTTAACACCATTCCATATCTCCATTCCCCTCCAACTTAATCTGGGGGCTTTGCATGCATGAGAAAACACCTAAGCAGCATGAACAACAACAACATTCCTCCTGTCAAAGACTTCTTTGCATCCCCAGCGCTCTCCCTCTCTCTAGTAACTACTTATTTCTTTGCATCCTTACCGCTCTCCCTCTGTTCGATCATGAATTTAACATTTTTCCTTCCTGAAAATATGATAGGCAGGTGTATTCAGGAACAATGCAGCGGCGGCAGCAGCCGAGGTGGAGGAAGGGGACGAGGGGAGTGGTGGAGGGGGTCAAGGGGAGCAGGCAGGGATCAGCGGCGAGAACTCTGGGGCAGCGGGTCGATCCGAGGAAGACAGAGAGTCCAATGAATCACAGGATGACAACAGAGAGGTCGGAAACAAGAGGAAGAGGAAGAAGTATCATAGGCACACAGCTGAACAGATCAGAGAAATGGAGGCGTGAGTTGGTTTGCTCGACTTGATCCTCCCTCCTGTCTTTGTGACATACTAGGAGTTTCTACATACTCATGCATGTCTCGGTTTCTGCCAGGTCATAATGGTATATTGCTTTTTGCCATGTCTAAAGCTTCATATTGTGAATTTTAAAGATATTATTCTAAGTAGTGTAAAACCGGTCATTTGATTTCAGAAAAAGAATTGCCCAGACCACGACCCACTCATGTTCCTTCAACTCTAAATCAGAATAAAGCACATAACCATAGAGAGTGTAGTCGATCATCAAAAGGATACCAGGTAGCAGGAGCTTTGTGCAGTCCAAGAAAAACCATTATCTAGGAACTGATCTGTTCCTTTCTGTGATAAAATCATACTGGGTAAACAGGAACATGTACCGAATAAAAAACTAATGATGACTACCATTAAGTGTAGTTAACCAATCAAATCTAATATAAGGAATGGGCAACACAGGTTGTTCAAGGAGTCACCCCATCCAGACGAGAAGCAGAGGCAGCAGTTGAGCAAGCAGCTAGGCCTTTCTGCCAGGCAGGTCAAGTTCTGGTTTCAAAATCGACGAACCCAGATCAAGGTACCCATTCAAAGAACTAGCCTGTCTCGAAAATTATATGCCAAATGGATCAGTTGCTTAAAGAAATGAGATCAGAGCACAAATAATTTTAAGAAGACTAGTTTTGCAATCACATACCAGTTTCATTTGCTCTCGCATCTTTTGAACATTGAACTATCATGAAACTGTAAGTTCCCCACAGGCGGTGCAGGAGCGGCATGAGAACTCTCTACTGAAATCTGAGATAGAGAAACTGCAGGAGGAAAACCGTGCCATGAGAGAGACGATAAAGAAAGCGTGCTGTCCCAATTGTGGTATTGCAACCTTAAGCAAGGACACCACCATGACCACAGAGGAACAACAACTTCGTATCGAAAATGCCAGGCTAAAAGCAGAGGTATGGCTTATGACCCAATGGCTCATTATCTGACTAGCTAATCTGTACTCTTGCTAGAAATAACATTTTGACTTTTGCTACAGATTTCCCCGTATTTTTATACCTATTGAACATTTCAACTATTGCTATTTCTACTGCAATAACTTTGATCTTCAATCCAACTCCTAGATAGAAAAACTACGTCGAATGCAAGGAAGCATCCCGGATGGAAACACTTCACCAAGTTCATCATGCTCTGCAGGCGCCGATCAAAACAAGAGCTCATTAGATTGCTATAGTGGATTCTTGGGTCTTGAGAAATCTAAAATTTTAGAGATCGTCAACGTTGCCCTGGATGAGCTGATCAAGATGGCTACTGCCCAGGGACCCTTGTGGGTTCGAAGTGTTGAGACCGGAAGGGAGATACTTAACTATGATGAGTATGTTAAAGAATTCTCACCCGATAATTCAAGGAATGGATGTCTCAGGAATATTGAGGCTTCCAGAGAGACTGGTGTTGTCTTCTTTGACATGACAAGGCTCGTACAAGCCTTCATGGATGTGGTAAAGTTCATATGTCTACATGCATATCAGTTTCTATCCTATTGAAATTCCTGGAACTTTCTTGTTTGCATATATTTACAGATAGCTGGATATCAAACATAACTAAGTCATTATAAACTTTGAATTTTTATTGTCCATTCTTATAGCACTTTCTCGCTGCCAGTCACCCATGAAGATATCAAACATCAAACAGAAGCTAATTAGCAAATTAGAACAGAATTGCACTCCTAAATTGGTATTTGCATGACATCGGCATATTTAGCCTTTTACTTCTGACCAAATTAACAATAAATCTTAATGATGACTATTTAGATACCGGTACATAACCTTCTAATCTCTGTTTGTTCCTTTCTTGTTGTAGAACCAATGGAAGGACTTATTTCCTTGTATGATCTCCAAGGCTGCCATAGTTGATGTCATTTTCAATGGACAGGCTGACAGTAAAGATGGTACCTTACAACTGGTAAGCTCCCTTAACCAGCATGACTGAATCAGTAAGGAAGGCCTCTTCACTTCGACATTGTTTTCATCATGAACTCGACCAATCAAGTTTATCTTATCACAGGGGTCATCAGTACCCCATAGATGTCCTATTCAACTAAGTTCTTGCTGACTAGAGTATCTGTGACTATTCAATGTACATAATACAGGTAGTAGTTCTCATAGAAACTCATTAAATTTTCTCAGATGTTTGCAGAAATTCAGATGCTTACACCTTTGGTGCCAACAAGAGAAATCTACTTTGTGAGGTACTGCAAGAAACTAAGCCCTAGTAGGTGGGCAATTTTAGACATATCCATCGACAAACTTGAAGAAAACATAGATGCATCACTCATGAAGTGTAGGAAGCGCCCATCAGGCTGTATAATAGAGGACCAAGACAATGGTCACTGCAAGGTATTTCAAAATCTTATAGTTGTTTCCCTCTTATACGCAGCAGTTCTGCAACCTTCCTCTCAAGATTGAGATGCTCATTATCTTAAGATGAAATTGTAAGATCATTTGGTTATACACAACTGCATCATCTGCAAGTCATCATATTTCATTCTCTGAATCTAGGTGATTTGGGTAGAACACATGGAATGCCAAAAAAGTGTAATTCCAACACTATTTCGCTCGATTGTTACCAATGGCCTGGCTTTTGGGGCTAGACACTGGATGGCAACACTACGACTGCAATGTGAAAGATCAGTTTTCTTCATGGCCACTAATGTTCCCACGAGAGACTGTAATGGTACGTAGCAATTCTTTTACCTGTTAGGAAAATGAACTTATTACTTACCTCGCATGAGATTCTCAGGAGTCTCCACACTGGCTGGAAGAAAGAGCATCCTGAAGCTTGGACAAAGAATGACTTCAATCTTTTGCCAGAACATCGGTGCATCAGGACACCGCACATGGACCAAGGTATCGACAAAGAGTGGAGATGAAATTCGATTCACATCAAGGAAGAATATGAATGATCCTGGTGAGCCTCCAGGACTGATCATCTGTGCAGTTCTGTCGACGTGGCTGCCTGTTCCTACAATGACTCTATTTGATTTCTTGAGAGATGAATCAAGAAGAGCTGAAGTAAGATATTCTTCATCACTCCTTTTTGTCATATTTGCTCTGCTAGATAGTAAACAAACCTCCTTTTTGTTGTTCAGTGGGACATCATGCTTACACCAGGCCCTACTCAAACAACGGTGAATTTAGCAAAGGGCCAAGATCGTGGAAACTCTGTTACGATGCATGTAAGTATAAGTATTCAACAATCTGTTGATATGATTCATAATTAGCAGTCGAAAAACCAAAGAACTTTAATCCCTAAGTTTCCAGTAGAATATTAAATTAACAAAAATAGAAATACAAAATAAAATTCAAAACATACTAGGCCAGTGATCAAATTGACATACAACATTTCTTTTTAAAGATGTAAAAGTTGAGATGTTTAATATTTGATGTGCATACACAGACAACAACTTCATCAGAGAGGACTAACATTTGGGTTCTTCAAGATAGCAGCACTAACGCTTATGAGTCGATGGTGGTTTTTGCTCCTGTGGACATTGATGGCATGCAATCAGTGATGACTGGGTGCGATTCTAGTAGCTTGGCTATATTGCCATCAGGATTTTCTATACTTCCTGATGGGCTTGAGACCAGGCCTCTCGTGATCACATCTAGGCCAGAGGAGAGGACGATGGAAGGAGGATCTTTGCTTACAATAGCATTCCAAATTCTTGCCAATTCCTCACCCATGGCGAAGCTAACAATGGAATCAGTGGAAACTGTGAACACACTTGTTTCATGCACACTGCAGAATATCAAGAAAGCACTGGGCTGTGAAGATGGGTAACTTTTGTGGCCTAAGCAAATTTGTGAAGATGATGGAAACAGATTCAAATCACTAATCGGAGGAATCAGACATGCACAAACACGGGAAGAGTAAGTAAAATATAGAAATCAATATAGATTGGTAAGAATTAACAACATAGTCAGAAAGCTTGCACTGGAAGAATTCAGATCAGATGATCTAGGTTGAAAAGCAGGCCTGTGCAGAAGGTATAAAAGAATGTAACATGTAGCAAGTTCTTCCAATGCCAGTGAGTCTTCACAAAGCATTTCTTTTGGCCTTTTGGAGGGGACCGTGTCACATGATATTGATATAAGCTAATGAGTTCTACAATTATTGAACTCATAACCTAATGAGATGTATTTAACCGCAAGAGTTTGAAGCTTCGCTGATGGTAAGGATGGCACTAAAGTTGGCTTTTCTCCCTCCCATCAATCAATCCTCTGAAAGGGAGGTGGAAGAGACCAAGAACAGGCAACTAAAAGTAGTTCCTTTACAAAGGTAGAAAGGAAGACTGATAAAACAGGCACCTGATCCGACTGAAAGCCTTGCCAAGACCAAATACCTGGTAGGCATCATCGTCCATAAGATTCAATTATGGGCACTGAATCATAGTCGAGTTTGTACATCATGGTTACTCTCGCAAATTAAGGCAGAACTAATTTAAGAAGAGATTTGCTATCTTTAAAGGATCCTTTCGTACAATATATTGGCCACATGGATCTACATCGTCTCGCTGTGATGAACGATCTCAGAAAGTAAAGCATCATTCAAGTTGTCCAAAGGAAAAGGCGTAGCAAATTTCAACTCAAGGGTGAAGTGGAACGAAAAGCACTCTCTTCTTACAGCGGTTAGAGGGAGATTTACCTGACGCCAAAGAGAAAGGCAGGAGGAAGGTTCAAGGCCCAAAATTCCCGTTGAAAACTCAAGGTATGGCCCAAGAGACGCTCTGTCCGCTGCAGTTCCAGGCGAGCTTACACCCTATTCACCGCCCTCTACCAATACTGCCGTCGTGAAAACGTGCGCCGCCCCGTCGTCCACTGCGACACCGCCGTCCGTTGGATTAGGATCCAGCGAAGGCTTGAATGCCAACGACCTCCAGCGTCTTCCACCTCGTCGCCATCGACAAAGATCGCTCGACCTCGTCCTCCACGCCATGCTCACGAAGCGCCGAGTGCAAACGAATAGGGATTGCTCGACCCACGTGGGAACCAATAGGGCTCTAAACCAATCCGAAAGCTTATTCTGCCTTCTCCAACAAGATCCTGAAATTTCGGATCCTCATTTCGGGTCGATTCAATTCGGATTCGGATCCTGGTTGGATGACCAGGATAAAGCCCACGTGGACCGATAGCGTGTTGTCTCCACAGTGGAATTTTCGACATCCGACATTACCCGCCGTGACTGCGCTTTATCGACCCACGCGCACGTCCCTCCCCGTGGTAGCCGTGCAACCGGTGGCCGTGTGGGGCATCGCTGGAAGCTCCTTCATCGGCGACAAGTGCGCCCGCAACCCTCAGGTCGAATCCTTTCGTACGCGCCCGTCGAGCTCCTTGGACCTGATCTGACTCAGATCTCGATAGAGGTCTTCGGCAACACCGTTGGCCAATGGGACCGCTACGGCTCCGAAGCCCCCTTTCTCCTCCAAAGGTTCTTCAGGTAGACCAACGGACTCTGATCTCTCTCCCCGACCACGTCGATCAGATACATTTGCTTTGTGATGAATGGCTTAAGTTCTTGCGGCTCGTCACGGACAAAATCGTAAACAAAGTGTTTGATGTCTCATGTATACTTATGGATAAAACTATAAATAGGAGAATGTTGCTTAATGCTCATGTAATACACAGCATGTAGAGGGTTGACAGTAGGCTTAATAATCTCATTTTCTTTAGTTTTAATGGTTGTCTTAGGCTTACAAACAAAAGTTATGTCATGTGGGCACTTGTGAGATTTTGGTTTGTAGTGGACCATTTTGGATCATTTGATGTGCGATTGTTCAGAGCATGTGAAGTCTGTTTGTAATTTGCATTAGTTATGAAGTGTTTACTAAAATGATTGCTTGTCGATCCCGAGTGAGATATTTTTTCTAACCCATTTTCTCTTTTGTAAATCTTAATGAACCATAAGATGTTTCGAGGAGGCTGACCTTTGCGGACGAACACGCAAAGGTGCCGCACGACTTAGGTAAAACTAGCTAAGTGCATAACATATGGTATCAGAGTGGGATAAGCACTCATATAAATGTTAGGATCAAGTCGGCACTAAGAGGGAGGGTGAATTAGTACTATTGTAAAAATTATGTTGGTTTGAAATTTCGTACAATGTAGAAAAATCGTTTCGATAAAAGTCAACATCGGAAATGAGCTTGACTTAGAGTGCACGTTCGTAAGCATAGTAAAAGTAGTACAGCAGTTTGCAATGAAAATAAAGAGCTTAAAGTAAATGCAAATTGAGTCTTATAGTGGTTCGATTGTCGTGACATACATCCACTCTCGATTCCTCTTCACTCGAGGCCACCAGCTTCCACTACCAATCTTCCTTCAATGGGCGAAGACCTACTACCCTCTTACAACTCTTTCTCCTTTTCACGGGTTTAGGAGACAACCCTTACAAGCCTCAAACCTCTCATGAATGATCTTAAAACTAAAAAAAAAAAAGAACACTTAGCAATTTTACAACCCAGAATAACAACCCTTTTTTGCTCTAATTCGTGCTTTTACAGGTAGGAATAGTTGGGATATTTATAGACTCCAAATGACTTCAAAAATGGAGCTAAAAAATGTCTCATCTTGGATTTCCGAGATCCTAGCAGTACATTGTCGGTGCTGGGTGGTACTACCGCCTACAACACTGACACTAGGCCCGCTTGACACAGTTTGGGAGACTATGTCTGGGT